ATTGATACAAACTATCAGGATGAGTTTTTCACTTGGTTTGCCTGTTTCTGCCTTCCCAATTCCGGGAATGAAGATGATCCACCATGCTCAGCCCTGATTTGTTTTCTTATGAAGACAACAGCTAGGGCAAATTACATACATTCTGTGAACTATTAGCCAAACATTAATATGTGCATGCAAACACACACAAAAAACAGGTATTAATGCGCAAAACATAAACTAATTTCTGACTATGGAAAACTCTACACATAATGTCGCAGGATATTCTTGGGATCAAAGTTACAAAGCCTTATTTCCTATTCTAAGGGGAATCCTGACTTAGGAAACTGCACTCAGTCATCTGGCTGGATATATCATTATTAAATAGCACAAGTGTAGAGGTAAATTTGGCATGTTAATTTCAGAAGTAGTATTAAGTTGCTTTCCCCTGATACAGACCTTCTATAAACTGGACAGCAGAAATTGTGAACAGGGGAAACAAACCCAGAGGATTGACATACATGCTCTGATAAAGGAGGACATTTTGGGTGGTACCCAGATGAGTTCTCAATCCCACTGCCCAAATAGGTTAAGTTTGTCTCTTATTCTTATTTGCTTTTTAAAGAACTTGTACTGCATTTACAAAATCCGTCCCAAGTTAATATCAAATAAATAAATACTGCTGAAAATTGGAAAGACCCTCTCATTTATCCTTTTGGTTCAATACAGTTCAGGCATTAATTCCAGTGATTACTGTCATCAGCACTCTTTGCCAGGATGACAACAGCAGCTGTCTGGGACAATGCAAGAAGCTCTCTCCCAGTTATGATCAAACTATCAACTCCAGCATCATGTTTCTTTCCACAAAAAGTAAAATAAGTATCAGGTGAGTTTTAAAGTTTATTACCCGATGCTATAGAAGAATACCTGTTTTTAATCTACAGTCGATCCAATTATCTTAAATATGAGCAGCTACCGATACCCTGAGCAAAGTGCTAGAACAATGTATGCATCTTGACTCTGGTAGTCTCTGTATCCCCCCAGTAACAGGACATCAAAGTCCATATACTGTCCCGACCAGGTGGACACTGGGAGGAAGGGCAGCACCTCCATTGCCTGAGAAGCACCATAGTAGACAGGATGGGATTAAAAACTAGAATCTGAAAGCCAGCATGAGAAGAGGATTATCTCACACGTGTGGGAACAACCAATAAGAGCCAACATGGGCCATCGGCATTCTTTGTTACGTATTGTTTAGCAAATATTTTTAAAATGAAATTAATTCCTGGAGGAAAGGTTGTGGGGGTGTTCCTCCATTCTTGGTGTTGCTGGTTCTCTGATCGGGGTCAGTTCTGAAGAGAGGAGCCAGCACACACAGCCTTGTTCTACTGCTCTAGCATGTACACACATGCTCTTCATTCTAAGCTCATTCCATGAATTCTACCTTTATCTTTACTCTTTTACGGGCAGATGCGTTTTACGCATAAAGCATAAAAGAGAACACACGACAGTCTCAAGCTTGAAGGTGCTGCCTCAGATGAATAAAGCCCTTCCTTAAGAAAACCTAAGGTTGGCCGGGCGGTGGTGGCACGCGCCTTTAATCCCAGCACTTGGGAGGCAGAGGCAGGCAGATTTCTGAGTTTGAGGCCAGCCTGGTCTACAGAGTGAGTTCCAGGACAGCCAAGGCTACACAGAGAAACCCTGTCTTGAAAAACCAAAAAAGAGCCGGGCGGTGGCGGCGCACGCCTTTAATCCCAGCACTTGGGAGGCAGAGGCAGGTGGATTTCTGAGTTCGAGGCCAGCCTGGTCTACAGAGTGAGCTCCAGGACAGCCAGGGCTACACAGAGAAACCCTGTCTCGAAAAAACCAAAAACGAATAGATCAAGTTGGCACTAGCTATTGCCCGCTGGAAATGAGTTCTCATTATGTTTGGGTCTGAGAAAGCAGCACTCTCATTTCCATAGACATGGCTACCACTTCTAAGACAAGAGCCACGTGAAAGGATGTCTGAGCATATTAACATACATTTGTAGCTACATATGAAACAAAGATACCCAGCATATATGCTTTTGATAACTAAATAGTAACTCCATCTACGTAGGTCACAGCACAGCCATCACTTCGTTCCTGGACACAGCACTCAAGCCATCAAGATTTGGCATTACTTTCATACAGTAAACAACAACAAACTATTCTTAAAATCCATCAAGGAAGAGTTTCCTAAATGCAAAAAATAATTATAGAAACCCTCTATGATGTCAGTAATTAGTTTTCCGTCACCCAGCATCTGGTGTACTGAAGAGACCTAGCAAGTTTTCAGTGAAGGCATGAAAAACATTTAGAAGACAAGACAAAACATGTTTTCTCAAGTTGTTGAAGCCATTGTCAATTCTTTTACAATAAAAACACACTGAACATGTGTTAGGTCACACTAGGTGAGGGAACAGAACAAAATCTTATTGAAGTGGAAGACCACAAAGGGAAACATTTTGTTGGTTTTTATTGTTGTTCAAGATTTGATCTATATAGTTCTGAATATTTTCATAAAGGTTCAGAATTAGAGATTTAATTTTTGCTAAGGTATTTAGGGAAACACAATGAGAGTGGAGACACAGCTCCCTTAGCTTTTAGTCTTGTGGAGAAACATTCCTTTGGCACTCAGTATGAAACACAAAAGCTTAGAAACACATTCAACTGAAAAATTTCCTTTTGTTCTAAATATTTGGCATCTAAGAAGTCATCTATTAAGAAACCAGACCTTGAAATCATATTCATACTATGTCTGGCAAAAAACAAAGCAAAGAACAGCATGAGATTGTTTCCAAAACTGTGTTCTAAAAGCTCGTCACTGACTGGCACCAAAATAAAACCAGGAGATGACTCTGAACATACACACAGAGACAGAGAGAGACAGAGACAGAGACAGAGACAGAGACAGAGAGAGAGAGAGAGAGAGAGAGAGAGAGAGAGAGAGAGAGAGAGAGAGGACAAACTAGGAGGTTAATAAAAACATTTAGGGAAAAACATTTAGGGAAAAATATTTTGGGAAAGGAGAAGAAATGGCCAGTTAGGAGGAGAGTAGTCCTGGCTCAAAGTGAAGATATACCACTGACTGGCAGGTGTAGAGCCACCTAGAAGGGAAAGGAGACAAGTGGCCGGCCATAGTGAATGACTTGTGGTAAAGAAACACAAACTTTGGCCGGGTGGTGGTGGCACACGCCTTTAATCCCAGCACTTGGGAGGCAGAGACAGGCAGATTTCTGAGTTCGAGGCCAACCTGGTCTACAGAGTGAGTTCCAGGACAGCCAGGGCTACACAGAGAAACCCTGTCTTGAAAAACCAAAAAAAAAAAAAAAAAAAAAAAAAAACCCCACAAACTTTAAAACTCTGCAGACATGTGTTCAAATGAACCATAGACATGGAAACTCAGGATTAAAACACTCGACAAATTCTCAGACTTTTTAAATGTCCAAAGCTCCCAGACTGTCCTCCTAGCTGCCATTCCTCTTTCCGGACTCCTCTCAGCCCAGTGAGAAAAACTGGAGACCGGAATCAAAAGAGCTTTGCTGACAAGGTGAAGGTCAGGGTTCTGCAAACTGAATCTCTGCAGATATCAAGAAGCTCTAAATCTGATCTTCAGTCAGGACATATCCCAAAAGACTAAAATACCTTAATGTAAATGACACTCAGTCATCAAGAGACAAGGAGCAAAGAGTGAGGAGCAACGGAGCAAGCCCGAAAATGCAGATACATGTAAGACTGCCTCCCGGAGTCACTCCTGGACAGTTGCCAACCAGCCACTTTTTAGCATAAGGAACGGGAAAATGTTCTTTTGAGCGGATATATCATTTCTTTGTGCTACTTTGGTGTGATTAGAAGAAAAGATCTAATCACATAAAAAAAGCATATTAAAAAATAGAACGTTCTCCAACTGCACAGCTCCTAGCCAGAGACAACAAAGTGTAGCTCTTTACCGAGAATATAAATATTAATATGGAGGCAGAAAAGAAAAACACATTTTAAAAGCATGCCTCAGGCAAGAATGACGTTTCAGGACAGACACACTTAACCACACAGCCCAAGCCCTAGATTCTCATAACTCCATTCTAGAAAAGAACTCCATTCCACATGGATCTAATACTTTAGTCCCAAGGGAGTCACTACCTAAACGTTTTAGAAGACAGTTTTTCATAGTTTAAAGTTTGAACTCTCTTACTTCTGGCATCTAGGTAGTTTCTAGTTTGAGAGTCATCTATGACTGCTCGACTTTTATAAAGCCTATTTCTTTGAAATAACTACAGGATTACCTTCCACTGCACACTGCACATATGGGAATGCGGTGCAGACTAGCCGAATCCACGATCTGAAACGAAGGTTTTAAGGTATTGAAGGCTGAAGACTTCGTGAAACGAGATTAAAAGGAATACACAGAACAACTCGAGCCCTTAATTCTGCACCCATTTACTTTAAAACACCAATACAGATCCCACCTCAGTTTTTTACCTGACGTACTAAATCCAGAGCAGGATGGGAAAAGACTTCGTGGCGATCCGAGTCTTGTTCCAAATTTAAACCAAGAACCCCAAGGGAGCAAAAGACAACTTCGGGGGACCACTCCTCCTGCAGGGTATGGAGGCGGGCTGCTCTTCCAGAGAGAGATACCCAGAGTCCCCCAGAACTAAAGTGACTAGGGACACTCGGGGAGTCCCAGCGTCAGGCCCTATCCCCAAGTTCTGCGACCTGCGTGGCCGCTGGCGGGGTCTGCACGCCTCGATTGAGAGTCAGCCAGCGGCACCGGGGACCGACAAGAGGAGAAGGGTAGCAGCCCAGGATGCTGGCTTAAGGCCGAGGGTGGGTCCGAAGCTGCAGTCCCTGTCCGGGGCAGTCCCGATGCTCCGCTCAGCAGTCACCGGAGCGCGGTCTCCGGGCAGCTGCACGCAGCTGGACGCGGCCTGAATCCTCGCGCCCCACCGCTCGCTTCCCTTCTGCCCCCCCCTCCCCGCACACTCTCCGCAACTTACTGGGGCAGTGCCCTGACCGCGCGACGGGGACGGGGACCGAGACCGGCACGGAGACGGACTAGCGAGCCGCTGCAGCGCTCGGCGGATCCCAAGCTCGCGAAGGCTAGAAGAGCGGCCGCCGCCTCCCAAGTCCGCGCAGACAGAAGCTCCCGCCGCCGAGCTGCAGAAGGCGGGCTGGGCACGTGGGCACCCCTCTGAGTAGCAGAGGGGCGGGGCGGAATGGGGCGGGGCGAAGGGTGGGGCGAAGGGCGGGGCGAAGGGCGGGGCGGGCCCGTTCCTCCCCTCCCTCACGCTCGCGACCCCTGCCCGGAGCGCTAGTCCCTGCCAGGCACACGGAGACTCTAGGAAGGCGGTGTCTAGCTCCGGGCCTCTGTAGGGTCAGGGAGCGCGCACATGTGGGTTACAGGCTTGCCCGCTGGGTGTGTGGGCGTGGGTTCGAGACGCAGGGCTTGGCAGCGGGAAAATGCACCTCTTTCCTTGGCAGAACCCTATCTCGGAGTGGGGGGGGGCATTTCTGAGGTTTCTTCTAAGCAGGATTCTCTCCCTCTTCCTCCCTCCCTCTCTCCTTCCCTCCCTCCCCCGTGTCTCTCTCACTGAGAATTGGGAACATAAAAATAATAGTATAATATGATCATAATAAACTAGAAACCCAGATAGATGTGCTTTGTCAAAATGGACCACTTCCTGTAAAGAAATCAAAACTCCAGACTTGTGATTAGGCAGGCCGGCAGTCATGGTTATTCGGAGGTGGGTTTTTAAGAAAAGGATACTTGGCATTTCCTAGCCAGCAAAAACAGAAGTTACACAATCGAGGTTTCTCATAATGTGCTATCGTTTGCTTTAGGAGTCTCTGATAAGATTAAAGTCACAATGTGAAACTCTTGATTTTAACACAAAAATAAAGCCGACCCCTGGCACAGAATTGAATATTATTGTGTGTTATTGTGGCTTGGTAGGAAGGGCTATCTGTTTCAGCTTCGTGTTGTGGTCAAGGGCTTTTTATTCAACTCCTACTAGTAAGATCAGCCAAGTAAGTACTCATTCATGCGATGCAGTACCTAGGTTTAATGGGAGCCTCCGATAGTTCTGAGAACTGTTATTGAATAGTGAGGAGTTTGCTCCAGAAATGGTACATATACACAATTTCTGTTACCATCTTCAGAGGCTGTGTATCCAATGAAGTTGTCCATTGTTTTCTGGGATGAGTCCAGCTGTTTGGAGCATAGCACCTGTGAGAGAACTGACAGAGTAAATGTACGAGTCAATTAAGACCAGCAGCATAAACTTCCTACATTGTATCACGATTTCTCTGTGCAGACTGTTCTTAATGACGTCTACTGAATTGACACATGTGGACACCAATACCGAATGCCCACTCAAACCCTGTCCCATACTTCTGAAGCCTCAAGATGTTTCATTGACTTTATGAGGCCAATGGATCTATTATATTAAAAAAAATCATCTGGGCTTTTTAAAATTAGAGGAATTCTCGGCTATTGTTTTGCAATAGGAGATCATGATGAGTTATTCTAACCTCAGAACAAGGTTGATTTTTTATTCCAGGTAGGTTGGGATTAGAGGAAGGCCACTGCTGCCTTTAAGCAGAACTGGAAAAGTTGGCTCTAACAAGCCCAAGACGCAATCTATCTTAGGGCCTTACAACATTACTGTAGAGAATTCCACTCTTTAATATGAAGACTCAGCCCTTCAGGAGTTATAGTGTCCCATGCTTCCTAACATAGATGGTCCAAGAAAAGAAACAACCAAAGCACTCTGCAGAACTTGTTTCTCAGTAAAATAATAAGTCTTTGCCTATCTCAGATATGAGCACTACGCAGGTATCCCACCAGGTAAAACCCAAACCACCAAGGTGCCTCCCACCAAGACCTTCCTCCCACGAATGTAGCCCCTTACAGAGCTTCTGAGCAGACATTGTCTCTCTATTGTCTTGCCTGTTGGACTGTTCTTAATTTTAAGGTTCAGCCTCTGGTGATCTAGACTGGATAGAACTCATTACGTAGCCAAAAATGACCTTGACCCCCAGTGTGGGCTAATAGGACCATGTTACCACAAATTCTTTAGACTCGTCTTTGAATCACAAGTGTGTCACCTCCATATCAATAATGGACATTCCTATTTTAAAACTTAAGACATCATTTATCCACGTATCTTTATTGAAGTTCATTATGATGTTCAAATGTATATCTAACCGGCGATTATGTTGCAGTACCATGATTTGGTATGAAGTGATCTATTATCTAGAAACTGCCAATATTGTCAGAATATCAATGACTGAGTCGATTGAGTGATTTTTGATATCTCCTGAAGCATGAATACACTGTGTCTGTATGGCACTAGCCAGAGTTACTTCTCTGTGAGACAAAAATAAATAAATAAACAAATTGTTTACAAAAAATTTCTAGCACAATGGCTAGGAAGTTTGATGTATTGATTTTTAATGTCCTATATAAACTAACATCATATTTCCTGTTTGAAATTATTAATTAACCTTGAGTTTGCATTATATCTGTGGTTATTTCTTTTCTTTTCTTTTCTTTCTTTTCTTTTCTTTTCTTTTCTTTTCTTTTCTTTTCTTTTCTTTTTTTTTTCAAGACAGGGTTTCTCTGTGTAGCCCTGGCTGTCCTGGAACTCACTCTATAGACCAGGCTGGCCTCGAACTCAGAAATCTGCCTGCCTCTGCCTCCCAAGTGCTGGGATTAAAGGCGTGCGCCACCACTGCCCAGCGTTTATTTCTCAATTTGCAAAAAACTATGTGGATGCAGAGAGACTGGGAACCACAGATCTAGTATTAGACATTGAAAACAAGTTAAATCTTTTGTCTGTAAATTCTCCCCTCCCCCTTTTTAGGAATGAGAGAACCCAGTTTATTTTTAGTTATTTACTTTTTTAGAATAATCCAGGTTGTCATTTTCTAAATTTCACAAACATTTATGCACATTTGAGCCCCTAAGTTTTGATGACGTGACAGGGAATTTCAAGGGACTTTTGTCAATGAATAAATCTCACGCCCTGTTCTACCATTCTTGCCAAATACAACCTGACAGAAATCTCCTCTCCACAAGTGACTTTAAGACTGAATGAGTTGATTTATTTATTTATTTTACAAAGTCCAGTTTCTGGCTTTATTATCTTCAAGCTGATTCAGAAACACAAATTTAAAATGTACAATTTTGTACACTAATTAGCTGTTGGATAACAATGCTTGGGGCAAAACAAAGTAAGACTTGACCAAATACTAGACTAGAGGTGTAGCCAGTACAGTTTACCGGGGTTTTCAAACCACTGTTGCTATTCACTAGTCTTAAAAATGAATAAAAATTTAACGTCAACTTTTCGTTGGACCCAGGTCACTTTCACTAGCTCTAAAGAAAAGCTGTGAAATATTGTGTACGGGGAGAGATGAAGTCGTTGAAAGAAAAATTCAGCAAGTCTTTATGACGACAAGTTATTTTAAAATTAATCTTTCTCTGCCTTTTTTTTTTTTTTAAAACGGAGACCAAGTAATGGTTTTGCAATAATTTTGAATCCCACGGTGTTTTCCCTACAAATTTTCCTGTGTTCCATCACTTGCCTTCTTGCTGGGGTTTCTTTACATTGGCCTTTATTCAAGAATTGCCCAGAGCTCCACCCAACCTCGTGCTGGTCTCCGTTTCCTTCTGCCAGAATTCATGCTGGGTCTGTATCTGCTGGAAAACGACCGTTTCCTCAATCCAAAATATCTTCATTTACCATGAAGCTAAGTTTTAGAAAAGAGCGTACCCGATGTCTTCTCTTCTTCTTCAGCCTTGATCGAGGCCAGCTTTGTCTCTGAGGACTCCCCATAGCCACACCCAAAAGACCTCCCTGAGCTCCAAACACAAGATGCCTCCTCCCATTTGCTGTTCTGCTGCTTTTTTTTTGTTTTTTTTTTGTTTTTCGAGACAGGGTCTCTCCGTGTAGTCCTGGCTGTCCTGGAACTCACTCCGTAGGCCAGGCTGGCCTCGAACTCAGAAATCCGCCTGCCTCTGCCTCCCCAGTGCTGGGATTAAAGGTGTGCACCGCCACTGCCCAGCTCATCTGCTGGTTTTAAAAATATGTCTATACTCTCCTTGGTTTCTGTGATCTCTTAGTTTATCTTGTACGAGCCTGATAACTTTTTGTTCTGCGTGTTAACTTTGGTCTTTTTTTTTTTGATATTTTATTTACATTTCAGATGTAATCCTCTTCCCCCCTCCCCACCCAAGAACCCCCTATCCCATCCCCCCTCCTCCTGCTTCTATGAGGATATGCCTCCACCCACCCTGCCACTCACACCTCCCCACCCACAATTTCCCCCACACTGGGGCATCCAGCCCTAACTTTGGTCTTTTAAACATTACATTCTCTCCTTTTTTTTTTTTTTTTCAGGAGAAAGCATATTTACGATAAAGGCTTTTTTTTTTTTATCAGTGTAGCAGAAATAACAGAGCACCAGATTCATAAATCTCAAATAGAACACAGAAAACCAGAAGGTGACAGGGTAGCAGCATGCTTTATAAAGAACAACATAATTCGAACAACCATTCCCTAAGGATATATTGACTAAGTTCTTAGCAAGGAATTTAAAAAAGAAAAAGAGTACAAGGAGCCAATATCCATAAACAGATATTGGAAGTATAAGTGATATTCTAGATCTTCCTTCCCCAAGAGAACACAGGGCTGTGTTTGGTGTCCCATGTTTTGAGGTTTGATTTCTTAGAAAGATGGGAAGAAAGCTGAGTTGTTATTACAGCAACATAAATAATCTTAGAATAAAAAAAACTGGAACCAATCTTTACCCACTGTGACTCAGAACATGTCTGTCCAGTGTTATACTTGAGTGGCTTCTGGAGGAAAGGAAGCATCTCTGAGGGAACAAGCTCAAAAGCTAGCTCCTGACATGACCTATGAGCTTCAGGCCTAGCTCCTGTCTTCCTCAAGATGGGCCAAAAGCCAAGGGACTGCACCCCCCAAACAAGTCTTGTCCTTCACAAAACTCTATGGGTTTCTTCCAGTATGTATCTAAAATCTGATCTCTTTTCTGTTTCATGTCTGCTCCTGTCCTGGGCAGCAGGCATCTCTCATCTGCTCACATGCGTTAGCTTCTCTCTGTGTTCATTCATCAGATAGGAAATCAGTTTTCAACTCACATCAGGCT